CTCCCGCGAGCAGAAGAACGCCTCCGGGGGCAAGATGTACATCCAGGACCGCGTAGAGCAATACGCCGACGAGGTCTTCGAGCGGCTGGACGGAGGAGCACACATTTACTTCTGCGGCCTGAAGGTGAGAAACCGTGGCACACCAGTGGGGAGAGTAGCGGGGGGGGGAGGTGAGTCCGAGTATATGGTAGGAAAACCCGCGGGAAAGGGGTTAACCCTTGTTTTTTGAATCGTGTCCGTGCAATCTTGCGGTCTAAATATGCGAGACCGCGGCACAGCAGTGGGGAGAGCGACGGGGGTGAACTCAACAGCCCTGCATACCGTAGTCGTTAGACCGTTAATCCTCGCATCCCTACAAAGTCGGCACGGAGTTGCACCGGACTGGGCGGGGGGGGGGGGGGTGAGAGCAGACGAGACGAAAATTCACGGGGATGGGGTTAACCTTGAAGTGTTTCTTTTCGTGTGCAGCAAGCCCACGTTATCGTTCCGCGCCATAGGCCCCCGCGTTATCCCCAGCGCGGCGCAAGGGGCGCCAAGACGTGAGGTTTCACAATGCCAATCAGGATTCCCATTGCATGGCAAATTGCGCCACGAGCGCGAATCACAGTCCCGTGGTTTTCGTGTGCGTACCCAATGTTTACATGCCATGACTGCGTTCGACTGGACCAAGATTTGGAGCACCTTTCTGCGAGGAAGAACGTGACGTTTCAAGCCGTATGCCCGAGGGCACCGTGCGTATTTTCCAACGTACGGGTATATAGCGAGAGGGTGTGTGCGTTTGTTCCGGGGGCCACAGCTTCCTGTCGCTTGCTCTTTACATGCTTCCTGTAGTACACACATTCGTTATCTTGTGTTTGTATTTTGTGTCTCACCCCGCCCCCTTGCCCCGCCTCCGTGCCCTCCAAACCTCCGCCTATGACGTGCTTGCGCCTTCTGCTTTCTTTCGCGCGTACTTGTCTGGCTTTCGCTTCGTGTTGGTGCTTGTCGCTCTCTCTCTCTCTCTCTCTCTCTCTCTCTGGCGCGCGTCTTGGATGGAAAAAGGGAATGATGCCCGGCATCACCGACATGCTGGCCAGGGTGGCGGGAGAGAGAGGCATCTCGTGGGACGCCAAGCTCAAGGAGCTAAAGAGCAAGGGGCAGTGGCACGTCGAGGTCTACTGACGATCCTTCAACTTTAGTCATCCATGTAGTAACGATTTCTTCGGGATTCATGCCCGGCTCGAAAAAGTTTGGGCTGGAGTGAAACGTGGGGGGGGGGGGTGTACTCATAGTCGTGCATGCCGTAGTCGTTAGACCATTGACCTCGCATCCCTACAAAGCCGGGACGGAGCACGCCGGGTTCTCACCGGACCAGGCTCTTAACGTGGGGGGGGGGCAATGTTGACGGGAAATGAGGTGGGAGATGTGGTCGCAGGTAGTAAGTGCACACCATTCGTCTAAATAGATCGGGGCTGGCGTCCGTTGGTATTTTCGAGACTTTCTCTCAATGGACGGCTGTGTCCTCGGGACGGTCCGGGGGCACCGCCAGGTAGCAGTAGACCAAGAGGAGTGGGAGCGGGGGGGCTGCGTACCGCCCAAACAATCATTTTGAGGCCGGTGCTGCCACGCCCAAAGC